CTTGGGGAAGAACAAACACCAGAGGAGGTGCCTGGTAAGCAACTTTTATTTGGGGAAGGTAGTTGTTTGGTGCGGGCTCTTGGGGCGAGGAGCATTAGGGCTGCATGCATGCCTGGAAGCTCTCTCACATCGTGGTAATCGGCCTCAGTGATCTCTTCAAAGGTCTCATGCAGAAGCTGGGCAATCCGCTTGCGCAGGTTCCTTGGCAGAGCTACTGTGCTCCTTGCCCCAGTCAGGCTAACTTGTCCGTGCGACTGTGCCATGGGGGCGGGGGGACCATTGCTGCACACAGGCAAGCTGCATATGGGCCAGGGCGGAAGTCGCATTGCAGTAGAAGATCCTCTCTTGCTTCCCAGGTCATCCTCAGCAGCGAGATCTCTTCCAGGACGAACTCATCCTATGGAAAATGTGGGGAGAGTGTTCAGTTTAGGGGCCCCCTGCAGCTGTTGGCTCTCCCCAAGGCACAGAACCCCAGAGGACAGTACAGCCATGAAACAATCAGTCCCCCTTGTTCCTGTGCTGACTCACCATTTTGGGGCTCCTGTGGGTTATGTGCACTCGCTTTGGGATGGTCAATTTCTGCTATTGTGTAGACTGTGCTCGCCCTTAAGTATGGCCGAATCATTGCACTGTCTGGTGTGAACAATGGTGCCTCTGTTAAGTGTTGCATTTTGGCTTTACAGATGCAACCTTGAGATCCCAGCCATCCTTGTTATCAACGGCTCAAAGACTCCCAAGAATCAGGAAGCGTCCACGAAGAAGCAAAGAGGACCTGCTGCCAGGGCCGGCTCTAGGCACCAGCAAAACAAACCAGGCTGCCCCTTGAAATGTGCCCTGGATGCCCCAGCTCGCCTCCGCTCCGCCTGCTCCCCTGAGTCCGCCGCCACTGCTCTGCTTCTCCCCCCTCCCTCCCAGGCTTACTGCGAGTTTTGCGCAGCAAGCCTGGGAGGGAGGGAGAGAGGGAGGAGAAGCCGAGCGGCACACTCAACGGTCATTCTGCACTGGCTCAGCCTGTTGTTGACAGCAGCAAGGAGCAGTTCAAGGCTCCCTGTGTAGGGTTCCATGAGCCGTGGCATTAAAGGGTAAGTGGGGCATCCAAGGATCACAATGGGCATTTCAATGTCCCCTACAGTGATCTTCTGGTCTGGGAAGAAAGGCCCAGCTTGCAGCTTTCTCAACAGGCCTGTGTTCCGAAAGATGTATGCGTTATGCACCTTTCCAGACTAGCCTGCGTTAATGTCCATGAAAAGCCCATGGCGATCCACAAGTGCCTGGAGAACCATAGAGAAATACCCCTTCCGATTTATGTACTCGGTGGCTAGGTGGGCTGGTGCTAGAATTGGAATATGCATCCCATCTATCGCCCCTCCTCAGTTAGGGAAACCCATTTGTGAAAAGCCAGCCACAATGTCATGCATGTTGTCCAGAGTCATGGTTCTTCTGAGCAGGATGCGATTGATGGCCCTGCAAACTTGCATCAACACGATTCCAGTGGTCGACTTTCCCACTCCAAACTGGTTAGTGACTGATCGGTAGCAGTCTGGAGTTGCCAGCTTCCAGATTGCAATCGCCACCCGCTTCTCCACGTCAGGGCAACTCTCAATCTCGTGTCCTTGCGCCGCAGGGTGGGGGCGAGCTCCTCACACAGTCCCATGAAAGTGACTTTTCTCATCCGAAAGTTCTGCAGCCACCGCTCGTCATCCCAGACGTGCCTGACGATGTGATCCCACCACTCAGTGCTTGTTTCCCGAGCCCAAAACCGGAGTTCCACGGTGGTGAGCATGTCTGTGAATGCCACAAGCAAACTCGTGTCATATGCGTTACTTGAGTCGATATCATCGGAGCCCTCACTGTCACTTTGGAGTATAAGGAATAACTCGACTGCCAAAAGTGACGTGCTGGCGAGACTCGTCAGCGTACTCCTCAGCAGTTCGGGCTTCATTCCCGCAGACCAAAAGGGAAGACAGAGCGCGCAGTACAAAAACCATTGAAAGATGGCACCAAATGTGGACGGAAGCACAGGGATTGCTGGGATGCGAACCGATGCATCACGGGGTGTAGGGACAGGACCCAGAATACCCCCCCTGTCATCTCCTTCCCACAAGCCAGAACGCCAGAATGGGAAGAGGTGCTCTGTGGGATAGCTGCCCATAATGCACTGCAAATGTGGCCATGCCAGTGAGCTGTCAGCTGTCAGTGAGGACAGACTGCAGCGCTTTCCCTGCTACACTCTCCAAGGGCTGGTTTAACTCTCAGTGCTCTACATCTGCAAGTGTAGCCATGCCCTGAGCTTCAATTTCCTGCTCTGCCACAGACGTCCTGTGTGACCTTGCACAAATCACTTTGCTTCTGTCCGTAAAATGGGGGTAATAGCCCTGCACTACTGCCCAAAGGGTGTGCAAGGGAAAATACAGCAAAGACTGTATTTGGGGGGATGGATAGCTCAGTGGTTTGAGCATTGACCTGCTAAACCAAGGGTTGTGAGCTCAATCCTTGAGGGGGCTGTTTAGGGATCTGGGGCAAACATTGGGGGTGGGACTAGACGACTCCTGAGGTCCCTTCCAGCCCTGAGAGTCTGTGGTTCTATGACAGTGAGGTGCTCAGACACTACAGCAGTGGGGTCATTACAGGGCACCAGACTGCCAACAAAGTGCTTTGAGATCTTTGGGTGAAACATGCTGGAGAAAGCTGAGAGGATGATTAATAAGTACAATCCCCAGCAAAGTTCTGCAGGGAGCAAGGTTCAGAGATTCCAAGGCCAGAAGGGACCACTGTGATCATTTAGTCTGACCTCCTGTATCACACAGGGCAGAGAACAGCCCCACCATAATTCCTGTTTGCACTGCCAGAGCTGACCGCTCTGTACCTGTTAGCCGACGGCCAAGGATGTTTGGTGAGGTGCCAGCTATGCCCGTTTATACCATCCGTGACTTTAACCGCTAGGACGCACTGTCCCTTCGCGGTGGGCAGCCCGGGCTAGGCTGACGGATGCCCCAAGGTCCTAACCACCCGTGACTTTAACTGCTAGAGCTCAGAGCTCCTTCGCAGCGGGCAGTCAATACTGACTGACAGGTGCCCCAATGGCAGCACTAAGAGCCTCTCCACACCCGTGACTTTAACTGCTAGAGCTCAGAGCTCCTTCGCAGCGGGCAGCCAGGATTGACTGACAGGTGCCCCAAGAGTTTGCCCCGTGGAGGCGGCACAACTCAACGCTAGGCTCTTAGTACTCTCACCTAATAGCCAGGCTTTAGAGCCAAAACGGCTGAGGTTCTTTAATTGTGTTGGCTGCTTTACAGTAAACCAGAGAAAAGAAGTCAGGCTTATGCACAAATGGTTACCAAAATTTATTAAGCTAGATTCTAATCATGTGGTTACAAAATTGCTAGTGCCTACTTATTTAAATGTAGAGATGTTACACACACAAACAAGTTACAAAACTGAAGCCACAATCCCAAAGAAAGAAAACAAAGTATAGAGCTCTGTTTCAAAATATGTGTACACTAAAGATAGGAGATCAGGTGTGGGTGCTTCTTACCCTCCTTGCATCTCTCGATTCCAGCGGTGCCAAGCCAGGATCGGTCACTCAATTCCACGGAAAGACGAATAAGGGACAAGGCTTAGGGACCCTCTTAGCTGCAGAAGCCTTGGGAGGCTGTCACTTATCTGACCAGCAGATAGATAGTGAAAAGCACTCAAAAATCATGGTGCTGTAGGTCCCCTACTTATACCTCTGTACTCCTTTATTCTCTTTCTCCTTTCTTATGCCAAATTGAGGCTGGTCTGTCTGGGTGACGCCAGCTTTCGCAAGAGTAGTTTACACTTGCAAGGGAGAGAAACAATAAGTGTCGACTACTGGACATTTCTTTTATCAGGGTAAATATTTTCCCACCTAGGATGTTGGTGTGTGTGCATCACGCTATTTAGTAGGGGCTAAGAGCCATGTCTGTCACAGGGCCTCTGCCTGCTGTGAGCTTAATCGTTGTATCTGCTCCCAGAGGCACATTGTAGCAGCACACCTGTGCTTTTCACAGCTTCAAAGGCTGTGCTGGAATATATGTTAAGTGCCCTGTTCCGGCTTCCTCCAGTGTTTCCAGCAATGCTGGTCTGAGGGGCGGGGGGGGGGGGGGCTGGCTGTCTGGCTACAGTACCACTGAGAGATTACTCCTCACTCACCCCTTAGGAGCTGGGTAAGTATCATTATCACCATTTTACAGATGGGGAACTGAAGTATGGCGAGAGGAAGGGATTTGCCCAGTGCAGGATTCATGTGTTGCTAGGCCATCCCCTTACCCCTAAGGATGCAGTCTCTGAATTCCAGGCAGTCTGCACTCATCACAGATCTCCTGTCAAGCAGCAAGCCATGAATGGGCAAGCTAATGCCAAGCCATTTACCTGCAGCTTGGTGCCAGGATTTCTGCCAGGGCTCTCTGATGAGTCTCTGAGGCTTGTACCAGGTCTCTCAATACCTGACTGCAGCTCTGGGAAACCCGTTTGATGCAGAGCTGGTGGGAGGGGGCATGGAGCACAGGAGAGCTTCTTGTTGTGGTGTTGTCAGGACCCAGCGCGCGAAAGCTCTCCCCTTTGTGCTCGTGCCAGAGGCAGGCACATTATGCATGTGTTTCTGCAGAGTGAATTCTTAAGCACTATGTCTTCCCAGACGCACGCCGCTTGCTTGCAGAGCCTGTGCATAATTTATAGAGAGGCTGGTAGACTGTTCTTTCCCCACCTCCTCCTTTGTAAAAGTCTGATAGAAGCAGCTCATATTCCCAGAGCCAAGGCATAAAAAATCACTGGCCTCCACCTGCCCTGTGGATTATTTTTCACTGTCGGATGACTGTTGTCACGACAACAGATTAGGTGAAATGGGATATATGGCACCTCCGTGACTTAATAAAGTTTTACAGATTGGGCGTAGGGAAAGAAAGCATTGCATTAGATTTAGCTGGCTCTGCCTGTGTCTTCCCCCCGCCCACCTCTCTCTCTCCCTTGCTTTCTCTCAGGATGGAGTCCAGGAATCCCCGCTGCTAGGAGCATCCTAAGGAACTGTACACGTGAGCGTTTCTCCTGCAACTGCAAGTTCCTTAAATCACACCCACCATGGTCACCCAGCCGTGTATACATGATCTCCTATGATTGTTATGGGTTGGGTTACCCGAGTTATGGGTCAGATAGAAACGTCGCCTTTGCCTGACAGAACTGTGAAGAAGCCATTGTAAAGTGGCTGAAGCATTAGCCCCAAACACAGGCACATGGAAGAGCCTGAAGAGAAGGGGAATCTTGTGGCCTCAGGGGTTTCATATGCAGTGGTGAGGGCGTAGGTTGGCGAAACTGGTTTTTCTCTGTGTGTGGGAGAGAGACACAGCATAAGGGGAGAGACACAGAAAGACAGAAGGAGAAAGAAAGCCAAACAGCCACCGCCTGGAAGCCTAGAGAGAGGCTTTCGGTTGGGTTGAGAGAGGCACTGTTTGAGTCCTGTGGTCAGGGGAACAAGACTTGGCACATTCTTATCAAAAAACCAAAATTACATCAAAAGAAAAACCTGACTCTTCTTCCCAAGTTCTCCTCCTAACTGGAACAACCTGCAAGACCCCATATATTTGGTTATCTGTTTGGGTCAAAAGGGGCAACATTATTATGGGAGAATCTCAGCTTTCATTAAAGCTTGGAAGGAAAGTTCTAGCCTGCCTGGTTGCAGAGAAAAGTTTTAAAATGTGACCCCTAATGAAGATAAGAACAGCCAGACTGGGGCAGACCAATGGTCCATCTAGCCCAGTGTCCTGTCTTCCGACAGTGGCCAATGCCAGGTGCCCCAGAGGGAATGGCAATTTATCAAGTGATAACAGAACAGAACAGGGCAATTTATCAAGTGATTCATCTCCTGTCATCCAGTTCCAGCATTTGGCAGAGGTTTAGGGACACCCACAGCATGGGGTTGATAGCCACGGATGTATCTAACCTCCAGGAATGTATCTAATTCTTTTTTTGAACCCAGTTATACTTTTGGCCTTCATAACATCCCCTGGCAATGAGTTCCACAGGTTAACTGTGCTTTGCGTGAAGTACTTTTTGTTTATTTTAAACCTGGTGTGTATTAATTGCATTGGGTGACCCCCAGTTCCTGTGTTCTGTGAAGGGGCAAATAACACTTCCTTGTTCACTTTCTCCACCCCAGTCATCTCCCCCCTTAGGCGCCTCTCTCTTTTCCAAGCTGAACAGTCTCTGTTTTTAATCTCTCCTCGTGTGGAAGCTGTTCTACACTCAGGATAATTTTTCTTGCCTGTCTCTGTATGTTTTCCAATTCTAATATTTTTTTGGGGGATACGGTGACACGAACTGCACACAGTATTCAAGGTGTAAGCATACCATGGATTTGTATAGTGGCATTGTGATATTTATTGGCTTATTATCTATCCCTTTTCTAATGTCTCCTAACATTCTGTTCGCTTTTTGGATGCCACTGCACATTGAGCAGATGTTTTCAGAGAACTATGCACAATGACTGTAAAATATCTTCTTCCATGTTAACAGCTAATTTAGAGCCCAGCATTTGATATGTATAGTTGGAATGATGTTTTCCAGTGTGCATTACTTTGCTTTTATCAACATTGAATTTCATCTGCCATTTTTATTTGAGCATAAGCTTTCGTGAGCTACAGCTGACTGCATCCGATGAAAAGCTTATGCTGAGATAAATTGGTTAGTCTCTAAGGTGCCACAGGTACTCCTGTTCTTTTTCCGGATACAGACTAACACGGCTGCTACTCTGAAATCTGCCATTTTGTTGCCCAGTGACCAATTTTATGAGATCCCTTTGTAACTCTTCAGTCTGCTTTGGACTTAACTATTTTTAGTAATTTTACATCGTTGGTGCTGGCTTGCAAAAGACAGATGAATCCTGGGATCCAAAGAGAGGAATCATGGAAGTTTGCTATCATGACCCCTGAATCCCAGAATTCCACTGGCTTCCAGCAGGTATCTCACAACACACTACAAGAAAAAATCCCAGAATGCAAAGAGCCCAGCAGCGGGATAAAGTGCCCTTGTTGCCAAGAAGGCTAATGGCATTTTGGGCTGTATAAGTAGGAGCATTGCCAGCAGATCGAGGGACGTGATCATTCCCCTCTATTCGACATTGGTGAGGCCTCATCTGGAGTACTGTGTCCAGTTTTGGGCCCCATACCACAAGAAGGATGTGGAAAAATTGGAAAGAGTCCAGCAGAGGGCAACAAAAATGATTAGGGGACTGGAACACATGACTTATGAGGAGAGGCTGAGGGAACTGGGATTGTTTAGTCTGCAGAAGAGAAGAGTGAGGGGGGATTTGATAGCTGCTTTCAACTACCTGAAAGGGGGGTTCCAAAGAGGATGGCTCTAGACTGTTCTCAGTGGTAGCAGGTGACAGAACAAGAAGTAATGGCCTCAAATTGCAGTGGAAGAGGTTTAGGTTGGATATTAGGAAAAACTTTTTCACTAGGAGGGTGGTGAAGCACTGGAATGGGTTCCCTAGGGAGGTGGTGGAATCTCCTTCCTTAGATATTTTTAAGGTCAGGCTTGACAAAGCCCTGGCTGGGATGATTTAGTTGGGGATTGGTCCTACTTTGAGCAGGGGGTTGGACTAGATGACTTCCTGAGGTCCCTTCCAACCCTGATCATCTATGATTCTATGATTTTTTGAAAGCATTATGGGATACTTGCCCAGAATGCTGAGCACTTATTTTGAAATACTCAGTGCTGTGTGTATGGCTGATCCAGACGGAAGTAGATAATAGCCAGCCATGTGGACGTAACTATTTTGGAATAGTTATCTGCAAGAATTAGTGTGCACCGCCTTGCTCCACCCACTCCTCAGTGCAGACAAGTCGTAAGTACTGAGATGTTGCTGTCTGGTCATGGGCAGATGGTCCCAGGCTGAACTGCTGGCACATCCACAATACATTCCTGTATTCATGATGGCACAGGGAAGGGGTGGGAAACTCACATTCTCAGTGTCAAAGAGGCATGGCGTGCAGGCATATGGCTGTCTTGGGATGGGCTGGAGGCTGGCTGGGGAGAGAAGGGCAGAGTTGAGGTTGTCTGGGTGACTGATCATTAAACAGTGTAACTTCAATGTTCCATTTCTTTTTTGTATTTGTTTTTAAATTAGGATGCTCTAAGAAAAGTTCACCTAAATTGCTGATACATAGTTACAGTCAACTTCAGATTCCCCAAGCTTTTTAGGCTGGGAATTTCCTGTGTTTTCTGAGTGGTTCAGTGACAGCTGGCTTGGAACACCCTAGTTCTGGTCACTGTTACAGCTTGTGCTGTTCAGCCAGGCAAACCCTAGAGTAAAATGCACCCAAGGTCTGCTTCAGTCTCTCTCATAAAGCCTTGACTCCATATTATAACCTCAGCCATTTTGTCTGTGCTGTGACCCTGCGTTAGGAGTGGTGGTGACAGTCTTCCATTCCCTGCTGTTGTTCACCCTCTTCATATGCAGCCTAGAACTGCCTCCTAACTTTATGAAGTTCATAAATGATGTGGCGAGCTTTGTGAGTAGGAAAATTGGCCAGGCCCCTTGGAGTTTCTGTTGCCCTGGGTGACCTTCACTTTGGGTTTGGGGAAGAGCACAGCAACCTTGATGCCATTCTTAAACGTGAACAAATCCCAAGTAATTAAATCCAGACACTCTCCACAAACTCCTCCTCGGCACAAGCCCCTTTCAGGGCCACTAGGCTAAAACAAGCCTGGAGTTTCTAGGCTACGTGGTTAGCCTAGGCTATGTGAATTACTTCTCTTTATTTTTAGCACTGTATCTCAGAAACAGCTTGTCAGATCCACTGTAAATTTGGCAAAGGAATGCTGCTTCGGCCAAACCACAGCCCCACCAGGTTTGAAGTGTGTAACTTTTGGAAAGAGTTGAGAAGGGGTGAGGTGGAATGCAAACGCAGGGTTAGACTAGAAACCTGACTGCTTCAGTCTGAAGAGACCAGGGTTGCTCCATAGCTATATCTCAGTCCCAGCCCCTGCAACCCACTAACCTCTCACTGCACTCCCATCCTCCCCCAAGGCTGAAGCGTTCATAACTCAGAACTACACTTGTAAGGTATGTAAAACAATAACACCTCTAAGAAGATTTTCCTCAGATGTCTGCCGAATGAAATGTGACAAAGGATAAATAAATCCGTGGGAGGGCGCAGGGCACAGAGGTGCCTGGGAACTGATTTTAATTAAAAAATGTTTTTCTTGTAAAATCTTGTGTGATCTCTCCCCATAAAGCACAAGCTGGGGGAGTGGATAAGCAGGATAAAGCTGTACATACATCTGAGGGCTCTGAAGACATCCAAGCTATTGATATGTGCATATAACCTTATAGCTCTGAGTTACCTATAGCATCCTATAAATTACAGGCTTTTATAGCCTTATATTTTACTGTGTGGTGTCTGGAGACATAATGACACAATGTATCATCGCCTGAGATGATGCGCAAACAGTTATGGGCTAACTTGTAAAAAGGGTATTGAAAGAACTTGCCTGATTGGCTGGGAAAGTTCTGAATGTGCGAGTCAAGAGCAGGCCGTTGTCATGCTTGAGTGAGAGGTGCCTGACCTGGGGAGCACTGGTGGGTGAAGCAGCAAGCGCTGAGGCCTGCAGGCAGCTGGATGTGCACATCGGGCGGGCTCTCCCCCTCATCTCCAGCTGCCAGACTGGATCAGAAAGCAGTTACAAATACACCAGGCCCTTTCCTAAGGTTACTTTCCCATGGAAGCGATTGCTATGGTTGCCATGGCAGTACAGGGAGGGGGTTGTGTTATGCTTATAAGAAGCAGAGGGGCTCTTTTTCAGGGGAAAAGGCAATATGCCACATTTATTGAAGATACAACAATCAGCATATGCATTCAATCACACACACACACACACTGTCCCACCAGTCGATGTTATCGTTACCAGTCCAGAGTCTGGATCAACCTAGTGGTCAGCTAGGTTGATCACTGTTGGGGAGGAGCTGGGTTCCGTTGGTCACAACATGATGCTCCGGGGAAGTCTTGGCAGGACGAACCCAAAGTTTCATGGCAAGGCACCCTGTTTATATAGTGATTTTCCTTTATTGGGACCAATGACTTTTGCACTGTCATACTGTAATCAATTGTTGTTTGATGAGTGCTTGTTTTCTTAAATTGTCCTTCTCATCCTTTATCTTGTTCTTTCATCAAGTTCCTCAGGGAGTTACCCCATGCTGGTTTTGATGACAGCTATCTTGTCCCCATTGAAAGGTGCCTGTCTCATCTTTAGAGTCATCAATCTGCCCTCCTCTGACATTTCAATAGGGGCGTGTTGCAGCCTCCTGGTGCCCTTGCGTCTGTCTCCGGTACCTCCCTAGACCATCTGGTTCACCAATGGCCTTCACACTTATCTCTTAACACACACATTCCTCATTCACACACAAAACAAAATTAATTTACACAGAACATTTTGAACAGGACATTCAAGTTGCAATGCAAAAGAAAAACAATCATTACATTCTTTTACTTATTTTAAAATGCTAAACCTACAACAAATTGGTGACTCTCAAAGGCCTTGAAATCAGCACAGAAACAGATTCTGGCTGATGCATCTTTACCAAATGGCCCTGTCATAAATATAAAGGGAAGGGTAAACACCTTTAAAATCCCTCCTGGCCAGAGGAAAAACCCTTTCACCTGTAAAGGGTTAAGAAGCTAGTATAACCTCGCTGGCACCTGACCACAATGATCAATGAGGAGACAAGATACTTTCAAAGCTGGAGGGGGGAGAAACAAAGGCTTTCTCTGTCTGTGTGATGTTTTTGCCAGGAACAAAAAAGGAACAGAGTCTTAGAACTTAGTAAGTAATCTAGCTCAATATGCGTTAGATTCTGTTTTGTTTAAATGGCTGATAAAATAAGCTATGCTGAATGGAATGTATATTCCTGTTTTTGTGTCTTTTTGTAACTTAAGGTTTTGCCTAGAGGGATTCTCTATGTTTTGAATCTGATTACCCTGTAAGGTATTTACCATCCTGATTTTACAGAGGTGATTCTTTTTACTTTTTCTTCTATTAAAATTCTTCTTTTAAGAACCTGATTGCTTTTTCATTGTTCTTAAGATCCAAGGGTTTGGGTGTGTGTTCACCTATACAAATTGGTGAGGATTTTTATCAAGCCTTCCCCAGGAAAGGGGGTGTAGGGTTTGGGAGGATTTTGGGGGGAAACACGTTTCCAAGCAGGCTCTTTCCCGGTTATATATTTGTTAGACACTTGGTGGTGGCAGCAATAAAGTCCAAGGGCAAAAGGTAAAATAGTTTGTACCTTGGGGAAGTTTTAACCTAAGCTGGTAAAAATAAGCTTAGGGGTTTCCATGCAGGTCCCCACATCTGTACCCTAGAGTTCAGAGTGGGAAGGAACCTTGACAGGCCCATTAAGCCATTCCTTTCTGCTGTTCAAAAAGGGTGGCTGGCAGGATATGATCAAATCATACACCAATACATTTAATACATGCTGCATTATTATCTCATTATTCTTTATCCTTCATTCTAAATCATACAAAATACAAACATAAAACCCTACTACTACAGTCATAGTCCACATCAATGCTAAAGGGCGAGCGGGTGTCCATGGGACAATCTCTGAGGAGCCAGTCTCCTTGTGACAAAGTCGGAGATCTCTTGGTCTCCATCCCTGATGCCCAGAAAAGTCAAATACATGGCTGCAGCTGGATCATCTTGTGCTGTGATGCCACGAGGTCTTGAAAGCTAGGCCAGACTAAACTGTGTCAGTGCTTGGGTAGGAGCCCACAAGGAGCAAGGCTGCTGGCTCAGCAGTGGTCCTCTTCCTTCTAACTTAGTACTAAAGCAAAGCCCCAGGGTGTTGCTAGGGGGCTCTGTGCTGCAGGAGATGTACTTTTGCCTGGGATGTACTTACCAAGCCAACTTTCAGTTTTCAAAGATCCCTGGGTTTTTTTGTAAGAGAAATGAATGTAACTCCTGAATTTCAGCTTGGACAATTAATTACACACTTCTCCATCACACACCTCCCCCCTACATTGTTGTGTAGTGTTGTATGTGCTGTAAAACAGCTGGTATGTCCCACCCCAGAGGCAGCTGCCAGTGAGTGGTGGAGGACTGAAAATCAGTTAGCAAAGTGCTTTGAGATCCTTCGGGATGCAGCATGATGTGTAAATGTGAGCTCATAATTAAACGAGGACAAAATGGCAGGGTTTAAATGAAAGAATTGGTTTCAAATGGGACTACTTGGGATTACGAATTTTAGGAGAGATTTTTGAACAAGCCCTTTCACTGGCCAGAGGATGGCCAAGGTGGTAAGCAAAGTTCTTATGTTTCCAGGGCTGGACTGAGCTGGTACCTGGTGAGATGTGTCACACCCGCACTTCTCTGTGGTATCATCGCTGTATGGAGACTATCGGTGTGACCCTAAGAACTCCTCAGTGCTCACTGGCAAAGGGCCGCTGTTCTGTATGAGTAACTCCAGAGAGGCCTGACGAACTCACTACACATGGCACACCACTTTCAGAGCATTTAGCGATCAAGAATATCATGTAAGATCTTAACTGAAGGCCAAGATCACACTGGTCATTAATTTCATTGTGAAATGCATGTATGTGACGGGGTGTACAAACCCCACACTGGACAACAAGGGGTTAAGGAACTACGCTGGGCCCAGCTAGCCCCGCCCTGCCCCGCCCTGCCCCGCCACACCTGTAGGAAATGCTCCAGCTGGAGGAGGAGTTAAAAGGAAGGGGAGCAGCTCATTTCGGGGCTGCCCAGGGAGAGAGCAAACCCGCACCCTGAAGCTCCAGCAGAGGAGAGCAGAGGGAAGGCAGAAATCTCTCCCTCCGAAGGGAAGGGAGGACCTACCATGGAGACAGCCGGAGAGGGAAGCATTCCCCTCTCCTCCTCCTCTGGACTTTGGCAATCCCCTTTATTTTCTTGGGTTGGACTCCCCCAGCCAGGGAAAGCCCTTGGACTGAACAGGCCCAGGAGGGTGGGCAATTATCACCACATGCCACCCCCAGAGGGTGTCTTGTGGTGGGCAGACACCATTCACGCTGCCTTAACCCGGCTGGCGAATTTGGGACAATCGCAGGGGGAGATAGGAAGTGGCCCAGGGAGGGCAGCCTTAAGCAGCCTGGGATGTCAGATAGTGAGGGCCCTGGGTTAGAGACTGGGCCTAGGCTCCCCTACCAACAGCAACCCTGCAGGTCATGGGCCTTAGCCGTGACCACTAGACAGCACTGCCCCACAAACCAACTCCCAACTGAGGACCATCACAATGTATAAACGCCATGTAAGGGGGGTGTGTGTGCGTACTGAAAATATGTTCCTAAGAAAGCCCAAATCAAGGCAGTGTTGACAAACAGGTGTCTGCCAGACAATGGATGTATATTCACCTGTCTGCCTCAGCTCATGTGCAAATTAAGCATCATAAACTAGCATAATGGACCTACATTAGCATACAAAGCTAAGGATGTGGAAGCCAGCACACCAGGGATTAAACACAGAGGGGTATCATAGAATCATAGAATATCAGGGTTGGAAGGGACCTCAGGAGGTCATCTAGTCCAACCCCCTGCTCAAAGCAGGATGATCCCCGACTAAATCATCCCAGCCAGGGCTTTGTCAAGCCTGACCTTAAAAACTTCTAGGGAAGGAGATTCCACCACCTCCCTAGGTAACACATTCCAGTGTTTCACAACCCTCGTTGTGAAAAAGTTTTTCCTAATATCTAACCTAAATCTCCCCCACTGCAACTTGAGACCATTACTCCTCGTTCTGTCATCTGATACCACTGAGAACAATCTAGAGACATCCTCTTTGGAACCCCCTTTTCAGATAGTTGAAAGCAGCTACCAAATCCCCCCTCATTCTTCTCTTCTGAAGACTAAACATCCCCGGTTCCCTCAGCCTCTCCTCATAAGTCATATGTTCCAGTTCCCTAATCATTTTTGTTGCTCTCCGCTGGACTCTTTCCAATTTTTTCACATCCTTCTTGTAGTGTGGGGCCCAAAACTGGACACAGTACTCCAGATGAGGCCTCACCAGTGTCGAATAGAGGGGAACGATCACGTCCCTCGATCTGCTGGCAATGCCCCTACTTATCCATCCCAAAATGCCATTGGCCTTCTTGGCAACAAGGGCACACTGTTGACTCATATCCAGCTTCTCGTCCACTGTAACCCCTAGGTCCTTTTCCGCAGAACTGCTGCCGAGCCATTTGGTCCCTAGTCTGTAGCGGTGCATTGGATTCTTCTGTCCTAAGTGCAGGACTCTGCACTTGTCCTTGTTGAACCTCATCAGATTTCTTTTGGCCCAATCCTCCAATTTGTCTAGGGCCCTCTGTATCCTATCCCTGCCTCCAGTGTATCTACCACTCCTCCCAGTTTAGTGTCATCTGCAAACTTGCTGAGGGTGCAATCCACACCATCCTCCAGATCATTTATGAAGATATTGAACAAAACCGGCCCCAGGACCGACCCTTGGGGCACTCCACTTGATACCGGCTGCTAACTAGACATGGAGCCATTGATCACTACCCGTTGAGCCCGACAATCTAGCCAACTTTCTATCCACGTTATAGTCCATTCATCCAGCCCATACTTCTTTAACTTTCTGGCAAGAATACTGTGGGAGACCATGTCAAAAGCTTTGCTAAAGTCAAGGAACAACACGTCCACTGCTTTCCCTTCATCCTGAGTCTGGGGTCAAAACAACGATTTTGAGGGGCTCTTAGGAGAAAGCTAAAGGACACCCTCTTATCTTTCACTGAGGAAGCAAAAGGACAGCATCTTTGCATTAATGAAAGAGGGATCGCAGCCACGTTGCTGGACACATTGGAGGATTGCTTTAGGTGAGCTAAAGTATTTGTAGACAAGGGTTTTAGAGTGTTCAGTTTAGACCCTGGGAAGCATGTTTTAGTTTTATCTGTAACCTCTCTGTTTCCATGATCCTTACTCATTATTTCTTAAATCTTAGCTTTTGATAATAAATTTATGATTGTTTTCACTATAAGAACAACCATACTGGGTCAGATCAATGGTCCATGTGGCCCAATATCCTGTCTTCCGACAGTGGCCAATGCCAGGTGCTTCAGAGGGAGTGAACAGAACAGGGCAGTCATTGAGTGATCCATCCCCTGTCATCCAGTCCCAGCTTCTGACAGTCACAGTCTAGGCCAGGGACACCTAGAGCATGGGGTTGTCTCCCTGACCATTTTAGCTAATAGCTATGATGGACCTGTCCTCCATGAACTTGTGTAATTATTTTTTGAACCCAGTTATTGTTTTGGCCTTCACAACATCCCCTGGCAATGAGTTCCACAGGTTGACTGTGTGTTGTATGAAGAAGTGCTTCCTTTTGTATATTTTAAACCTGCTGCCTATTCATTTCATTGAATGACCCCTGATTCTTGTGTTCTGTGAAGGAGTAAATAACACGTCCTGATTATGGCTCCACACCAGCCATGATTTTATAGACCTCGATCAGATCCCCCCTTCGTTGTCTATTTTCCAAGCGGAACGGTCCCAGTCTTTTTAATCTCTCCTCATACAGAAGCTGTTCCAGACCCGTAATCATTTTTGTTGCCCTTCTCTGTACTTTTTCCAATGCTAATATATCTTTTTTGAGATGGACAACCAGGACTGCCTGTAGTACCAAGGGACGGGCGTACCATGAATTTATATAGAGGCGTTATGATAGTGTCTGTCTCAGTATCTATCCCTTTCCTAATGGCTCCAAACATTCGGTTAGCTTTTTCAACTGCCACTTCACATTGTGGATAGTTCTCTGAAAACATCCGCTCAGTGACTCCAAGATCTCTTTCTTGAGTGGTAACAGCTAACTTAGATCCCATCATTGTATATGTGTAGCTGGGATTGTGTTTTCCAATGTGTATTACTTTGCATTTATCAACATTGAATTTCATTTCCCATTTTGTTGCCCAGTCACCCAGTTTTGTGAGATCCCTTAGTAACTCTGCGCAGTCAGCTTTGGACTTAACTATCTTGAGTAGTTTTGTATCATCTGCAAATTTTGCCACCTTGCTGTTCACCCCATCCCAGATGATT